TTGCGAAAGGAGATTCGAGCGGAGGAAAAAATTGTGAAGGACATCGCGAATGGGTACCCAGTGATGCAAGAAATGATCAATGAAAAACAGTACTGGATTGAATCTTGCAAACAACTTTACCCAGAAGGAAACTAACAAGAATGTTATGTATTAATGTTTTTGTTGTCGTTGATGTTTTTCATTTTAATGTTACGTCTAAATGTTGTTGTTTCAGTTGATTCTTTTATGTATTGATGGTTAATGTTCATTCATTTCTAAATCAAACTGCCATTTTCCATTAAAACAACAAAACTACACTTTAAAATCGTACATTTACTTACTTAAATCGTAAGTATCAAATACATAGTCTTGTGTAGTATCAGGTTCAGACGGACCACAATCGCTTAGACGACTAACTGATCTTCGACGACTACTTAAACTTTCGTGCGTCGGCCTAGGAGTTGGCATCGGACTCGGACAATTATATCGAAAATGTCCACTCTGGCCGCATCGACTGCAAGTTTTCACTATTGGTTCCTCGTGACGGGATACGATCGCGGTTACGTGGCCTGCCTGAGTTTGTATGTCCAAGGGAGGCCGTAGGATGGTCAAACGTTCGTTGGGCAACACATATTCAGCTTGTGGTGGAAGGGGAATGACTTCCTCCTCATATGTTGCACGGTAAGAGTCCGAATTGAACCAAACAGAACAGAATTGACTGCATTCTTGAATATCTAAACTTCGAGCAACAGATATCACATGACCGCAAGCTATTCCAGAAAGTTGTCATTGCATGCATGTACAAGTCTTAGCATGCAAATCACGCATTCCTTTCGTATACTTGTCGTCAACTTCAAACAACAAATCAATGATGGGATATACCTTCCAATTTGCGCTCCTATGTATTCTCTTTTCTAATTTGGCCTCCGCCCAAGGAGTCACTGCATTCATCATTTGTGCTGCAAATATTTGATATCATGAGCATATGTTACATAATCAAACATATAGTGAAAGGATGGTTGAATTTACCTCTGTTATGTCGACGTATGAAATACCATTGTTGCAATGTCACCTGATAAAATTCAACTAACATTGTTATCGGAAGATAGCGTGCAAACCGCATTACTGAGTTGACGGACTCAGCACTATTAGAAGTCATTGCACTGTAACGCAATCCAGGGAAGTGCGATCGTGTCCATCTAGCGTAGCCAACTTCCTCAAGATATTGAGCTGCTCTAGGTAGAATATGTCGCATCAAATCCATAGTAGCTTCAAAGTCCAACAACCTGTAAGCTTTGCATGCCTCCCAGAACATCCACCATTTCCTTTTCTCTTTAGTAGAGGTTAGGCGGAGGTTCTGGCTCAGATGCCAACAACAAAGTCTGCGGTGCACGTTAGGAAATACAGTTCGTATGGCCAGGTCGATAGAGGTAGCCCTATCGGTTACGAAGGTTAAATTGGGCACATCACCGATACACTGCCTCAGCTTACATAAAAACCATGTCCATGACGGGCCACTTTCTGTCTTCCCAACTCCCATTGCAATGGGTACGATCCCATTTTTTCCATTCATGCCGACCGCTAAGAACATGGTGCCAACGTATGGCCCCTTCAGATGGGCACCGTCCATTATAAGAAGTGGTCTCATGTGTCCTAGAAATGATCGAATCTGCAGATGAACGAGATTAAAAATCTAAACTTCATAACATAAAATTATGACAATAATTAAAAATATGACAAAAATTATTACCGAACAACCGAGTGCGACAACATGACGAATCGTCCAAGTCCATCAACAGCGATCTCTGTCAAAGTCCACGGATTTGCTAGCTTCAGATTGTGACAATAAACCGGGAGTAGGTTAAACGACAATTCAGGGGTCCCCCTCAATAGTTGCAAGGCATACATCTTTGCTCGTTATGCTTGGTTGTAGGAGATGCTAATATTGAACCGTTGGTTCACATCTTCCATGGTTTCTTTACCACAGTACACTCTCTTACAATCCTTTAAACTCCATGCCAATATATGACCCAAAACCTTTTTATTCGCATTACGGTGGTTTGGGTGCACTTGGGACCTTGAACATGTGTGTTCATCGTGGAGCTTCCGTACCTGAAACATACTGGTACCATCGATGGAGACAACCATTAAACGCCAATCACAGTTCGAATCTAATTGACACACCACCTTGTACCGGTATTTGGAAGATTTCTTTACCTTCATCTGAAAGTTTTCATGAACGCACTTTAATCCCACTGCAAGCTTGAGTGCTTCCTTCGAGTCAAAGGTTTGGAGAACTTTGACATTGGATGTAGGCTGGTAGAAAATGTTTCTCTGTCTACTTTTGATAATTGGGTCTAGACAAGGTATTGGATTGGCAATACCCCAAAAATTATTCCTTACCGGCTGGATTTCTTCAGAATCGGAGTTATCATCGTCTTCGGGTATGTTCAAAATTTCGGCAGCAACTGAAACATCTTCGGCCATATCTACCTCCCACAACGGTTTTGACTGTCTGGGAAACCAGATCGGGTACGGGTTGGGAGACTTCATCGGAGGCATGTTCAAATCTTGAACAAAATAACTGTCAGGTTCAACGGTAACTTTTTGTTCAAAATATGAATTTCCAGCGGCATCATAAGGGAAGAAGGTGTTTAGAATTTCACCATTGCCACCACTAGGGAAGAAAGTGCTCTGATTTACACCAGGAGCACAACCGGTAGGGAAGAGTGTGATTGGATCATATGGGTTTGCACCGCTAATGTCGGGGAAGAGTGTGCTCGGATTTCCACAGCTTACAGCACTGGGGTAAAAAGTGTTTGGACTGCCCGGGTTTGCACTTGATGGATTTCCTCCGTAACCTCCATTATCAACCACAAATAGTGTCAACATTTCTAGTAAAGTTTAACGAATGGCGTTGTGGAAGATTACCACATCATCGTCGTCCATGAACTGATATAACGTATTCGTTTTAAAAAATAAATCGAAAGGACCACATAACTTAACTTTTTCGTCACACGTTTGACGACCCAGAATACGTTATCGACGAAGACAAACATATTGCACATGTAGGGGAGCTTATCGGAAGGTATTCTAACACATCATTTATCTCTTGGAATAAACCGTCACTTCGAAGATACACACAAACATCATCGCTTTGACGTGATTTCATGTTTTGTGATGGTTGATTGTGTTTAATGGGTTAAAGGTTGTGATGGTTTATTGTGTTGAAGGGTTAAGGGTTGTGAGAGTAGAATATATGAGAAGAGAAATGAAAGAGGAGTGTTAAAAATTATTAAGTAGGAGGTTGGTATTTATAGTGAAATTGGTATTTTTTTTTTTTTAAATAAAAAAATACATAAGGCCGGATCGCCCCCGGGGAGCGATGGGATGACGTGGCTCGCCCCCGGGGTGGATCGCCCTTGGGGGCGATTTGGTTGGTTATTTTTGCAATTCCTCCATAAAAATGGTTATTTTGTTAGAGTAGGTTGTATAAATTGGTTAGTTTGATGATTTTCCCTTAATTAAAGTAATAAAAAAGAAAAAAGAAAAAAAAGTTAATTAATAATTAATTTCTAATACAAGTAATTAAATAACAAAATAAAAGACAAAAAAAACATATAATTAATGTAGGCTTAAAGATGTCATTCATCATCCTTCTAGGGATGGCAACGGGGCAGGGTTTGCAATCCCCGGTCCCGGCCCCGGTTTATATACAGAGTCCCCGGCCCCGTCCCCGGTCAACTTTCGGTCAACCCCGGTCAACCCCCGGTCAACACCCGGTCAAATTAAAATTAATAAGTTTTTTCTAATTATGCCCTAAATATCATTTATCCAGACAATGAGACAAATAAGCAATTGGGTTTAAGGCCCTGACCTCGAATCCTCGATGGCAGAGACGGAGAAGAGCAAGATGATAGATGAGACGAGGGATGTCCGGACTCCGGTGACGGTGTCGAGTGCCGGCCGCTGGACGCTGGTGACGGTGACAGGCGTGAGCCGTGAGGGTCTATGGAGTGTGGAGGTCACGAGGGTCGACGGTGTAGAAGAGACCGGCTGTAGAATCGTGGAGTGTGAGGGACCGTCTAGCCGCTGGCGTCTGTGGAGACTGGAGAGTGGAGACTGGAGTGTGGACGACTGGACGAGACGATTAGACGAAGTCTCGAAGAAGAGTAGAAGAGTTAGGGATGGAGTCGATGGACATATCAATTACAAGCCCAAGTCCATATGTCCAACAGGCTGCACATATCAATTATAAGCCCAAATAATTAAAATGTTTAATATTTATATATATACCGGGTACGGGGCGGGTCGGGGGATACAATACCCGGCCCCAACCCCGGTTTGCCTCTACCGGGGATCCCGGCCCCGGTACCCGTTTTAGCGGGGAATCCCCGTCCCCGTCCGGGTCGGGTGAACCGGGTTCCCCACCGGATCTGGCCAAATCACCATCCCTATCCTTCCCTTCACTTATATCACACCCACCATTCCCAAGATTACACACATGCATATAGACTCATACTTGATACCATCTATTGTATGTAGATAATTTGGAATACAAATACTTCCATGTCTTTTTTTATATATCGATGTTTAGGTCAACTTAAGCATAACTTGACTAATTTTATAGTTTCAAATTAACAACCAATTAAGTATGGTGTGCAGTTATGCATAATTTGACTAATTTTATAGGGTCTAAAAACAACAATCAAGAAAATTCTTTGTTTCTTTAATTATGGATGTTCGAATCAACTTACATACAACTCGGCTAATCTTGTTGAACTATGAAAATAGCTGTCAAAAAAATCCTCAAATTTATTAAATACACTTGAACCAATAAACTATTAGAAAGAGCCCTAATACGTAGTCCTTTATGGGTTGAGCCAGTCGTCAAGGTTCTTTAATGCCTCGCCTTACAACACATGCACAAGGTTTATTAAACAAAATGACATCGTTTTGATGATATAACCCAACTCAACCCAACACAACCATAATATTCCAATATATTTTTTTATGATATATTTTAGGGGGTCAGAAAGTCAACTGAAAACTAATAAACAAGTCATACAGTGATTTATCACGATATAAGAAAAAAACACAAAAATTGAGAAACTCATATATTATCGGCCTAATACAGCATGGTACAACTACTTCATGTTCTACACCAATCATGAACCCTCACCTCCAAAGTCTCTTCTTATGATCTCCAGCAAAAACTCATTCCATGTATCAACTGGACCAGGCATACACCAATGTAAACAATCCTGTGGCGGTGGCCGCCCGTCGGCACTCCTTTTCGTGATCTTATTCGGGTCAAGACTCCGGTACGGACCTGGGTGACCATCATGCCGATACGAGAACGGCTTCGTGATGTCCATGAATTTCACCCTTGATTTGTTCGTCTTATTCTTTATACCACGATTGAACCCTGATACTTGTTTATCATGCATCGTGTTCGTGAACCAACTCTCGACTAACTCGCCGTCTACCGCTGGTTTTACCTTCCCAGTGCATGACCCGCCTGTATTCCAGGCTCCACCTTCGTAATGATCGGGTGAATATGAGCGGACCACGGTGAGCCCTTTGTAGTTCGGGTTGGTCACGAGGGAGGAAATGATGGTTGCTACGGATATTTCAAAAGCTTCGGTGCTGTCGATTTTCTTCTTCCGGGTATTGTCGGGCCACCATAACTGTCCCCCAACGATCTCGTTGTTTAAAATGTAGACGGATTTCTTTGCGAACCAGTGACCTGAGGAAAGCACGAGAACGTCAACACTGGGAATGATGTCCATGAAAGTTTCATCTGGAGCATCGAGGTGGAGCTTGTCTACACCCTCGGGTGCAAAATCGAATTTTTCGTTTGTTTTATGGACAAGCCATGACGACCATATCCGTATAATCATCGTAGATGTTGACCGGAAATAATACCGCTGCATTCTTTTATTTCCACGGTTTGTTGGAGCTTCAACCTGTAATTTCCAAATGGATCTTTCTTAGGATCAGTTGCAAATCGAAATAGATGAAGAAATGTGTAATTTGTTGATTTCGTGATAAGAATACATCAATATTTAATAGCAGTCACAGTTTCATGCAACATTAAAACCAAAAATTTAATATAATTTGCAAGATCCCATATCGGTCGGAGAGGGGAATTAAGGTTGCCTTACAAAGGCGCATTTGGCACGCTGGACTGGACAGGACAGAATAGAGATCATTTCTCCATGTATGGCAGGACTTTTACGTAGAACAGAGTGGAAAAAAGTGTTCTATCCCGACCCCATGGAACAAGATGAAACAGACTTATATTTTACAACCATAACTTCAAATTAAAATTAAAATCTCTTCTAAAACATCAAATACGTCTTTATCTTTACATTTTATTCATGTTTTAAAATTTTATATATTGTAGTTTATGCTCTTTAAACTCTCATTTTATGTCCTTAAGATATTATTTTTATACGGTTTCTATACTTTTATTAATTTCTACAATTTATTAAATATTAATAATTGATAATAAAAAATAATATAGAAACAATATAAAATAAAATTTGGAAACTACATAACCTTTTCATTTTGGTGTCATTTTAATCATTTAGATGAAAGCTTTATAATGGTATATTTTGTTATGTAAAATATTTATTTTATTATAATTTAATAAATTACATAGTTAATCAAAATAACTAAAATATATCAACAACTCATTAGGGGTAAATTGGTTATTTTACTCTGTCTTGTCCAGTTATGTCTTACCATACACTGAAAAACTGTCATGTTTTGTCCTGTCCTATCCTATCCTATCCTTTCTGGATACCAAACGCATCCTAAAGAACCTGATACCTCCTCTATCATTCGCGTTTTAAAACCATGAGTCCATATGTGGAAAAAGAGGACAATATCTGTTACGGTTACCTTAGGATGTTATACAAAGGCGTAGAACTTAGAAAATTGAGGGAAAAAGGCATTAGTATAATCATTAGAAGTTAAACTAAAGCATGCAAAATTCTCTGTTAAAGTCAAAAAATAAAGATAACTGTTCATAGTCTTTCTAAGACAACACATAAAATAGAAGGAACACTTGCCTGCCAAAGTATGCATAGCATCGACTCCATTTGATTTCGAGCAACCGAGTCACCTATGAAAGCTAATGTCTTTCCCCTCATTAATTCCAAAAACTTCTTGGGATCAAATCTAGGGAGGTCACATTGTGTAGGTTTCCATCGCCAATTCTCATACTCTTGGTCGGGTCTACCATTTCCTTGGCAGTTCTGCATCTGTGTCAAAACAGGGCATGAGTTGTTCGAGTATAATGGTCCACCCGAATCATATACCCATTTCCCATTATACAAATCACAACCTACACATTTGAGCATCAATATCATGAGTTACCATATCCAATGTCATTCGCTGTTATCTATAAGTTGGAACATATAAATTTTTTCAGAATATAATGAAGGTTTAAGAGCAAATTAACAAATCAAGGAGAACAAACAAATCAAAGGTCTAAGCAAAGCGAAAGGGTCACAACTAAGGACTGTAAAGCCATTAGCAATATTAGTTCAGATACGAATGGAAAAGAGAGGTTTGTACCTGAATCAACAGTCATGTTGGTGCCTATATCAACGGTCGTGTCGGTGCCTGAATCAAATGTTGTGTTGTTACCCGAATCAACCGTCGTGTTGGTACCCGAATCAACCGTCGTGTTGGTACCCGAATCAACCGTCGTGTTGGTACCCGAATCAACCGTCGTGTTGGTACCCGAATCAAAAGTCGTGTTGGTATCTGAACCAACAGTCGTGTTGGTATCTGAACCAACAGTCGTGTTGGTACCCAAATCAACAGTCCTGTTGGTACCCAAATCAATAGTCCAGTTGTTACCTGAATCAACAGTCCCGTTGGTACCCGGATCAACAATCCTTCCTTTTGTTTCTGTATTATTTAGTGGGATCCTAAATACACTTATTTCATTATTAGAAGGCGATAACCCAATTTCGCTGGCTTGATCTGGATTATAAAAATACCCACCAAATTTAGACCCAATTGGCTGATAGATCAGAAGCAAGCAAGCAAAAATTAAAAACAAGGCAAGTCCCCCCACTGAAGCTGCAAATGGTAGAAGCACCTTCGGATAAGGAGTCATTGATTTAGGGGAACCCGATCTCATGGCTTTCTCAAATCCAAAAAACTAAAAAGATGCAATATTAGTGGCAGAAGCGTCTAACTTGAAGAAATTAACTCCTCCATTGCATCATCTTGTCCCAACAAAGTGAAATGAAACAAAATCCACCTGTAGCATTTTGAAAGGAGAATAACTAAATATGCAAAATCAAGCAACAAGCATATTGCTCAAACCTAGCGCTAGTCATGTGACAAATAACTTATTTATTTTCAACTTCATACTACAGTTCATAAATATGATACACTTCAGATACATCAGAATGAAATGGCTAGATAGCATCAAAAAATGATCTTCACTGTAAACCAATAGATAGTATTGACACTCCTGCATTTTACGCTTTCATGTTTCTTTGGATGACCAGACCAATCCAAACAACTGAACAACCCCATTATATCCCGCTCAAGAGCAGGGTCTAGAAGGGGTGAGATGTATGCAGACCTGACCTTTAGCACAAAGGGTAAAGTGGTTGTAACCTTGGATGCTAAGCTGTATGATTTACGTTCAAATACAAGTAAAAAGAATAAGGTAAGTAGTGAAATAATGCACTTAATTAATTGTTATATGATTCACCTGCTCAATTTAAAGACAAGACCTTCTTATTCCCTTTTGGCTTTTTAGGTGGGAGCTCTCTTTTGATGTTTGAATTCCTCTTTTGTTCAATCAAATAAACATGTCACTCAAGATATTCAATTTATGAAGGCACATTGAATCCTTGTAAACATGATGTCAACAATATTTCACATGTCTTCTACACTAAAACCTCAAAGATGTTACAAAGTACATGCTTAGAAACCAGATCTAGAGCTCCGATTATCTGATTGTGTAAGACTATCTCCAACAGATCCTCCAAAATAAAGAAACAGAGATTTTGGGTAATTTTTTGCTCCGAGAGATGCCCCAAAACTTTTTCCAAAATGGAGAACGCATGAGAGTGTTAAATTCTCCAAATATGGAGAACCCTCCCTAAATGATTACCATGAGAGAGAAACAATTTTTTATTATATTCCCGCCAAAAAAAATATTGAGGTTAAATATTTATGAGAGAGAAATAATATTTTATTACATGTATATTATATATTAATAATATAATCCAATGGAGAATCTGTTGGAGTTGGATGTAATTTTCTATAGAGATTTTGAGTTTTGATTCTCCATTTTGGAGAAATTTTGGAGAATCTGTCAGAGATGCTCTAACCCCACTTAACTTGTTGGATGTTCGAAAGGAACTAAATAACTAAAGAAATATGACATACCCAACACTTAGACCTTAAACCATCACCACATAACCACAAGGGTGGTGCCTGATTGGTTTGAGCTTGGCTCCAAAGGTCAAAAGTGCCAGGAGGTCCCACGTTCAAATCCAAGGAGAAACAAAAATCCCCTTGTGGCCACGGAGGTTCAAATGCTGACTCCGGGCTACCTGCAAAGTAGGTGGTTGCCCTGGGATTAGTCGACTCGCAAAGCGGGTTAGATATCCAGGTTCATCAAAAAAAAATCACCACGCACAAAAAAAGGTGAAGAAAACAAAATACACCAGGAATCTAATAGGCAAGAAAAACAATCTTTGGGATACAAGTTGCTTTAGTGGCACAAAAAACATTCACCATTGGCATTGGTTGAATAATTAAACATCATTACATCAACAAGCATGATTAAATGCCAGGGACAAGTATGCCAGGGAATAAAAAATAAGACTACCACCACAATAACTACTGAAAAGTGCCATATGACTACATTCAGATCCGCAAAAATAATCGTCGTTTCCATACTGCTTATTATGCTGCATATTGTTTGGGATCATACAAAATGCTATATAGTTAAGCATGAAACATACTCCTAAACTTCAACGCCATCATCATTAGACAAAGCATCCGAATTACAATGCTGAACCAAACTCCCAATCATTAACTTACCAATCTGAGATCACAACTTTCTATTTAATTATGCTACATAGACTCAACATAGTGAAATAAAAAAGGTTAAGAGAGTTAAAACTAAATAGCCATCAAATTACACGATTCAACAAAACAAAACGTCGCATTGCACTTGCTATTGTAGAACTTTAGCATAAATTACATATATTACGCCCAGAATATACGTGTGCATGTCAAACAAACAAATCCTTGCCATTAAGAAGAGAGTTATGACAACCTCCAAATAACAATCAATTGATCAAAACAAAAACTCTTCCCTTTTCAGAGAGAGCACGAGCGTGCAGACTGAGAATGAGAGACTCACAAGCTTGCAATTGTATTAAATTTGATAGGAATTACGGTGGTTGTGCTAGACAGTCCCAACAGGGCTTCCAATCTTTTTGGAGGCCCTGTGATACTAACACTGATGCCATATGGGAATAGGGGCAGCAGTTGACAAAATAGTTGACTGTTGGTAAGGAAAGCAATACACATTTCAAATATAAACCAGTGATCAAATTGCTATATGGTAGATGGTCACATAAAAGTAATATAGTCCAAACCATGTAATGCTTTTAATAATGCAGGCTGCAAATAAAACTATAACAGATTCATCAATTATACTCTAGTGTTGTCAAATCAAAGGCAACTTCGTCCAAGGGAAGATTCATCATCTACTAACAATTATGATTTTGCAGACAAGAAAATGGTAGAGGGTGCTGTTGCCTCCTACCATAAAACATAGCTCTAAAGTCTAAATTTTTTATCAAAAATTGTAGTGCTTGCACGAGAGTGTAAACGAATTTTTATGTACATAACCTAGAACTCACAAGGCATTAACCAGAGTTCAGAAATCAGATAATTGTGCAATTTCTACAAGCAAAGTTGGATGCTCGGTTCTATATTATAACACAACCAATCAAAAGAAGGAAACAAGTAAAATGATTACTTCTAGGTTTCACAAACTACAACAAAAAGTTTAAAATCACATCATTATGTCAAATCTTATCACACAATCTAGATCAGTGAACTTAATTACTTACACAATACAGATGAATCTATGAAAAACCGACTGAATTGTCGAAGCTTGAACCGGATGATTTGGGAATCTACGAACACTAATTGAACCCTTGAACAAGATAGAAATTGCAGGTAAAAGGTTATCTAATCAAGAGTGATTGCAGGTGATTTTAAATATCATTTAGTTATAATAAACAAATTGAAGGAGCCATTACAAATCAAAAGAAATTATAGCAGGGATTTGAAAGGTCGTGTTGTCATCGGCAGGAAAGCAAAACGAAGGAGCCAAGGGAGTTCAATCGACGAAGACGATTATACAGGTGTGAGGTGTCATCGGATTTAAACAAAATTGGAATTGGAACATGCAATGCACGGCCCTGAGTCCCAATTCCGAAATCTAAAGCATATACCAGATCATAAACAAACCGATTGAGCTAAACTAAAGCAGATCAAATCGAACTTCGGAATCAAATAACAAAATGTGCTAGGGTTAGAATCAAGTGATTTGTGATCAGTATGTGAAGTGAGAGTGTTCAACATACCGTGTATGGGCCGGAGAAGTTGAGAGATCGCCTAAGATCGGGCGGTCGCCGGAAAATGCGCGATTGATTGGACGGAAAACAGAAGAGAATATGGTGAAACGTGGGAAGCAGAGAACAGATGAAAACACGGCAAGATAATAAACATGTGTCCAACGGAATTAGAAAAAGAACACTAAAACCATGCTCTATGTCTCTTTTGACTCGGTCTAATAATGAACATTGTAGCATTTTTGGGATGTTAATGATTAGCGGACAATCAGCTTTTAATGTTGGAGTTAATTATTTCTGTATAGCAAACTACATTTTTGGTCCATGTTTTATACATAAATTTTTGATTTGGTACATAAAACGTATTTTATATATTATAACTGGTCTTTATTTTGTACTTTTATAATAGATTAATTAAACATTGTTAACTTTAGGTTTGTTGTAGTGAAAATACTGAGACCCAAATAGCAATAATGTTCAATAGATGGTTTAAGATACTCTACATATGACCAATGAACTAAAGTGATATCGAGATTATAAGTTGAAATATGATTGAGGACGCATAACAAGCAATGTAAACAAAATTATGACTTGACACAGGTATTTTGAGGGTCTAGATACCTATTGACCTGCTACTGATGACTTGACACAGGTATTTTGCCAACTAAAATTATGCATCACTGTTGGGTTTGAGTAATAGCGTTAAAGTTGTATTCAAGTTTCTCCTTAGTGTAGTTTTATATTGTAATAGTATAGCTTTATATTTCCTAGTATAAATAGTATTTTCCTTGTAATTGTCATTAACAAGTGATTAGCAGAATTGTAATCAAGATTAGAGCTGTAATTTTCTCTCTCTCAATCAAATCAATCTTTGATGATATTTTCTCTACTTTTCTATTCATCTTGATTCTTGAAGATCTTATCATGTTTGTATGATTTCTGGACTTCACAATTGGTATCAGAGCAGGCTGCAGCAGTTTTGATTAGAGGATTAAACAAATTTTGCACAATTTTTCACGAATTTTTGAAAATTCATCGATCTGGTCAATGATGTTCATCACTGTTCTTGAGTGTTCTTCGTTCAGATTGGGTTTTTGAGCCTAAATCGGTTATATTTTTAGTGTTATTTGTAAAAATTTACATCGCTAGATTCGTTTTTGTATTTCGAACAATCTTGATTCACACTATTTTTTATTTTAAGCAAGTTTTAAAGCAATTTTAGACGAAATTTGAGTTTTCGTATTCTGGAAAATATTCTTCAAAACTCATATTTTTTCATGTTTTGATCCAAATTTTTGGTAAAAAGTGTGAAATTTTGTGTTTTTGGTTGAATTTTAGTTCGCTTAAGACTTGTGCGATTTAGGGTGTTATCCGCTTGATACTTGTGCGATTTAACATCCGTGTGAATTTTGAGTTGTTTGATATAGGTTTATCCGGACAACACTTGAACGGATCATTGAGCGATTTAGCAAATCCGTCTGGTAAACCGTAGATAACTTGAACGGATTATTGTGCGATTTATCTAAACCGGCTGGTAAGTCTTTAGTAACTTGAACGGATTAGTGGGTGTTAGCTTTATTTTTAAAGCTAATAATTAACTTGAAAAAGTTTCATGAAACAATCCAGAGCTAGAAGACGAATTGAAGAAGTATCTGCGCCAAAACGTCTAAAGTCTAGAAGACCAGCCTCTGTGCTAAAGAGTCCCGGATAACCAGAGCTTCTTTCAGAGACTACAGAGCTT